TGCGTGATTTCTGCTGCCAATCTGCTCACATTGCCTGTCAGCAGGCTCTGTCGACAAAACCTGAGCTTAATGTGGTCACAGATGGCTATGGTTTTGGCATGGAATTCTGATTAAATTTGCTGCCAATCTGCGCGCATGCTGCTAGCATTTTGCTATCTGGGTTAGTATATAGCTGTGTTCTCTCTTAGCCCTGACAAAATACGTAATATAGTAAAATATATGAAAAACTGCTATAGGCCGAAGTCATACGCGGTGTCATACGCATGCAAACATCCGTTTTAGATAAGAATCGTAACTCTTGTTCTTCCATGTCCCACTAATAAAACACGTTGAACGTCTAAAGAAAAATATAATGCCGCAATATGCAAGTGATATATCCCCAGCAAGCAAAATGATGCAAACTTTGCGCAAAGTTTGCAGCAAACCCGAGCATGCCTTTATAGCAAAATTGTGACAAGGTGTGTCCGCAAAAAGCTTAGCTTTTGCTGGCAAGGCTTGTCGCAATAGTGTGATACACATTTTGCGCAAATAATAGAGCAAATCTTGCCGTGCACGGCATGACAGCAAATTTGTGGCAAGAACAGGACAAACCTTGCTGTGCACGGGATGACAGCAAATTTATGGCAAGAATAGGGCAAACCTTGCCATGCACGATTTAAAGCACACCTTGTCGCAAAGCTTTGGCAAAACGTGATTTTAACATTCTTGGCTATCTGGGTCCAGTATATATCATCCAGTGTTCACAGAGAAAATACTTACACTTTTTTGTAAAATCTTAATATATACTCAAAATTGGTAAAATTAAATCTAAATTAATTTTCTCAAATTCTTAAAAATATTGAATTATTAGACAATTGTACATAGAATCCTCTGTAAATTACTGACGATTATATTTTTTTGTAAGATATATATGATATCTTTTTATAAGATATAAGATATCTCATTTTGTTTGAAATTGTTAAGAGAAATAGGAACATGCATTATTCCCATCTTCTTTCTCCATCTTTTTCTTTGCCAACCTGTTCCCCGATCCTTATCTGCATGTTGCATCGACACCACCGCGAGACTTCGTCAAAAATCGCTCATCACAATCTGGTTTTTCTTTTTCTCTCCATGCACACGTACACGTCACATCGCAGCGGCGAATTCCCGATCCTTTCTAACTCGCGAATATTTTCATAGTCAACCATTAAAGAGCCTTGAGAGACTGTTCCGTATGAAAAGAATAAAGATATATAGGTTTTCCAGTAAATTTTAACTGAAAAACAAAAAACTACTATTATCTATTTACATTTTGGGATTCGATTTGATGGGATCATCCTTGATTCGCAGCGTCGTGAATAAATTCGTTAATTACGGAATTTAATTAATGCAACTTCAAAAGTTTTACGGGGCTTTTCGCAAGTCACCGGAACTGGAAATCGCCATCGCTGTACCGCGAATTTATCCTAATTTACAAGGAATATCGTGTTGATCATCATCATCATCATTGTCATCGTCATCGTCATCAGCAAACGCTGATCGTGGCAGAGCAATTGCCGTCTTTTCAAGTCCCAATTGCTTCGACAGTTCGTTCGATCAGCGCTTAATCAGCTCGCAATCACAGCACTTTACTCACAATCTTTCATCTACTCTTGATAAAAATCACATTTACAAATGCCTCGCGCGACAAAGGACAAAAATTCAAGATACAAAGGTACTCTGCGTCTACGTCGGCAGAAATACAATTAGCGATTTATCTCCATATATATACATAACATATATATATATATGTATATATATGATATACATATATACATATATATATAATTATTCTTACTTATTGATTTACCGGGTTAGTTGTATGACAGCTTAGATCGGGAATTAAAATAGCGCCGAAATTGATGAAAGTTATATATAGATTGATGAAAGTTAATTTCGTGGAATGTTCTTGTCTCTCTCTCTCTCTCTCTCTCTCTCTCTCTCTTACTTTCTTACTTTCTTATCGATATAAATCGTATCGAAGCCAAGTCAGAAAATATGAAAAATGCAAACTTGGTAAATTTTAGTCAGCGTGCAGGTATTTCGCGAAAAAAATTGTATCTTCCCGACAAATACGGGAAACAGGAACTCAGTACGAGACTTTAGAAATTCGTTAATCGGTTAATATAAACATCTTGTTCTTTCTTTACATTATTATAGATATTTTCGTAGAGAGATTGAAACTGAAGCCATTTGTGGAAGAAAGACATAGATGAAAATAACCGATTTTATGAACAAATTCCCGGAACAGTAAATTTTTTTATATTTTAAATGTAGTATATTGTATTTTCAATTGAAAGGAAAATAATAATCGAAATAATATATTCTTCGAGTTAATATTCTTATCCATTAAAAATATTTTTATCATCCGAAAGGGGCGATATTTTAAATTAAAATGTTTTTTTTCCAACTAATAAACCATTCTTCGAAAAAAAATATTTTGCTCTGTATATGTATATCTTTTTCCAGATGTGACTTCAATCAATATCTCTTCTGGATAACATCGTTAGTTCGAGAAGCCACAATCTATATGGAACTATGGAAAACATGACTATGGAAAAAAGTCGACATTGGTTTTTAATCATTCGCCCAAGCCCGATTACTCAAACGCTTTGACAATTTCATAACAATTTTCTTAAAAATTACTGTATTCTTTAATGAAATTGCAATCGACCTTTGTACAGCAAAAATTCACTATAATACACAATTATTTACGTTTTTAATTTTCAATGTTAAAGCTATTTTTAGCAATATAAAACGCGCTTCAAAGTTAGAAAACACAACTTTAATGATAATTATCATTTATAATAGAGATTAACTTCCTATCAAATAGAATGCCCAACGCAATAGAATGCGATTAAAATTTTTATCAATTAAGATCGCAAGATGCGATAACAATTAAATTGCTAATAAATTCGACTTAAAGTTTAGTGAAGAGTTTAAGTTTAGCTTAATTCACCAAAGTCCTTTCATCGTCAAACAGCGTTACATGGTTCTATAATTGGGCTCCTTGATAAAATTTCGTGGAATAATTATAATGCTAAAGAATCCGTCACAAGAATTTTGTGTTGAAATATTTTTCCCAGCATAAGTAAACATTCTATTTATCTATCATACATTCAGTTCCTTGAATAATTTACGCATTTTCCACGATTTTTGTAGCGATAGGACACGTCACAAAAAAAAAGACGATATTTTTGTTGAGACCGATTATCGTTTCATCGCATTGCGACGCCGCTTGCAACTTGCTGTTTCTTAGATTAAGAACGAGTCGGTACGATTTATGCACATTCAAGCATACATTGTTTTCTATTTTATATTAATTACATTGTTGATCGGAAATACTAAAGGCACCTAATGTTTCGCTGGATGCTGTTTGCGCTGCGCATTGATAATTAATCGACAAGTGCAGCCAAGATGAATCGCGACGGAAATTCTCCGCTTCTTCTATCCAAATTCCTTCTAATCTTTTTGCGCTTATATAGATCGTCTTTATATTGTAAGAAACGAAATTAAATTAATTCCGCAAAATCAGTTACAAAAGTAAAATATATAAGAAAGCGGAGAAATCCCGTCTATACGCTTGAAGTCTATACAACATTTGCGAATACTATTGTTCGAAGCGTAACAGCAAATCGGGATCGATTCTAAAACATCGTGAGACTATACTATAGTCAATCGATGAAGACAATTCACAGTCCACTTCGTTAACATAGAGAGATGAGTGATCAACTCTCGAGACCCGATTATGCGATTTGCTTATACATTTCTGATTTAGTAGCTTTCTATCCTTTTTCGCGAAAAAGAACACTATGTTATTATACTACATCTCTCTCTCTCTCTCTCTTACTTTCTTACTTTCTTATCGATATAAATCGTATCGAAGCCAAGTCAGAAAATATGAAAAATGCAAACTTGGTAAATTTTAGTCAGCGTGCAGGTATTTCGCGAAAAAAATTGTATCTTCCCGACAAATACGGGAAACAGGAACTCAGTACGAGACTTTAGAAATTCGTTAATCGGTTAATATAAACATCTTGTTCTTTCTTTACATTATTATAGATATTTTCGTAGAGAGATTGAAACTGAAGCCATTTGTGGAAGAAAGACATAGATGAAAATAACCGATTTTATGAACAAATTCCCGGAACAGTAAATTTTTTTATATTTTAAATGTAGTATATTGTATTTTCAATTGAAAGGAAAATAATAATCGAAATAATATATTCTTCGAGTTAATATTCTTATCCATTAAAAATATTTTTATCATCCGAAAGGGGCGATATTTTAAATTAAAATGTTTTTTTTCCAACTAATAAACCATTCTTCGAAAAAAAATATTTTGCTCTGTATATGTATATCTTTTTCCAGATGTGACTTCAATCAATATCTCTTCTGGATAACATCGTTAGTTCGAGAAGCCACAATCTATATGGAACTATGGAAAACATGACTATGGAAAAAAGTCGACATTGGTTTTTAATCATTCGCCCAAGCCCGATTACTCAAACGCTTTGACAATTTCATAACAATTTTCTTAAAAATTACTGTATTCTTTAATGAAATTGCAATCGACCTTTGTACAGCAAAAATTCACTATAATACACAATTATTTACGTTTTTAATTTTCAATGTTAAAGCTATTTTTAGCAATATAAAACGCGCTTCAAAGTTAGAAAACACAACTTTAATGATAATTATCATTTATAATAGAGATTAACTTCCTATCAAATAGAATGCCCAACGCAATAGAATGCGATTAAAATTTTTATCAATTAAGATCGCAAGATGCGATAACAATTAAATTGCTAATAAATTCGACTTAAAGTTTAGTGAAGAGTTTAAGTTTAGCTTAATTCACCAAAGTCCTTTCATCGTCAAACAGCGTTACATGGTTCTATAATTGGGCTCCTTGATAAAATTTCGTGGAATAATTATAATGCTAAAGAATCCGTCACAAGAATTTTGTGTTGAAATATTTTTCCCAGCATAAGTAAACATTCTATTTATCTATCATACATTCAGTTCCTTGAATAATTTACGCATTTTCCACGATTTTTGTAGCGATAGGACACGTCACAAAAAAAAAGACGATATTTTTGTTGAGACCGATTATCGTTTCATCGCATTGCGACGCCGCTTGCAACTTGCTGTTTCTTAGATTAAGAACGAGTCGGTACGATTTATGCACATTCAAGCATACATTGTTTTCTATTTTATATTAATTACATTGTTGATCGGAAATACTAAAGGCACCTAATGTTTCGCTGGATGCTGTTTGCGCTGCGCATTGATAATTAATCGACAAGTGCAGCCAAGATGAATCGCGACGGAAATTCTCCGCTTCTTCTATCCAAATTCCTTCTAATCTTTTTGCGCTTATATAGATCGTCTTTATATTGTAAGAAACGAAATTAAATTAATTCCGCAAAATCAGTTACAAAAGTAAAATATATAAGAAAGCGGAGAAATCCCGTCTATACGCTTGAAGTCTATACAACATTTGCGAATACTATTGTTCGAAGCGTAACAGCAAATCGGGATCGATTCTAAAACATCGTGAGACTATACTATAGTCAATCGATGAAGACAATTCACAGTCCACTTCGTTAACATAGAGAGATGAGTGATCAACTCTCGAGACCCGATTATGCGATTTGCTTATACATTTCTGATTTAGTAGCTTTCTATCCTTTTTCGCGAAAAAGAACACTATGTTATTATACTACAAGACAAAATCCACACTCGTTCACTGCGTGCAAGTTATAGACTTTCATTTCATGAAATATAGTGAAATATCCTACAAATAATGTATCAGTTTAAAAAAAAGGAAAAATATTTAGATATTACTCCCTTGCAAACTTGTTTTCACACTGGGAGATAATTGTATTTGTACCGTATATTATTTTTTCCTTTTTTTTTTCTTTCAAAAGCGCATCTCATTACAATGGTAATATAAAATTGATTTGTCTATCGTGTAAAAATCGCGACACAAGTAATAGTAACGCAGTATAGAGAAAGGATTAGGATACGTGTGGAGGGCCTTCCAATTTATGAAGACCCGTTAATCGTCTCCTGAGAGTGTATCGCGGAAGATGGACGCCCAATATATTTATTAATTATTCTTGATAATTTTTATAAGAATCTTTATATGATACTGTGCTAATTGTGCACCGCGCATCGGAGCCTGCGGACTCGTCTCCTGCTTAATCTCGCCGCGGAGAACGAGCGGTGGGTTCCTCGGCAACGCTGTCGGAACGTAAGAGGTAGAAAAATATACGTGTGGCGTGCATCGCGTATTCATTTGATTCGGTGCAGCAACAAAAATGCGATTTAACCCTTGAACGCACAAAGAGGGAGGGAGGAGAAAAGCTCGATATATTTATTTTTTCTTCATTTCTAAGATTAAACTCTTTTTATGAATAATCTTTCAGAGAAGAATCCTTCAACAATGTATCTGATGAAAATTCACACACTTTTCCTATTTTTAAGTTTTTATAAACTTTTATTCGGACATTTGTGCATTCAGGGATTAAGAAGCTGTTCTCAGTTCAGTGACTGGTGACACACGCCATATAATATATCTATATCTATTACTTTTTATCCAAAGTATGATTTGAAAGTACGAACTTAAGGTTTTTCCTATGTTCGTAGACCCTATAAATATTTTTCAATAATTAGCTAATTTGTGTCGGAAGAAAAAAGAAGATAGAAAAACGATTCCTCTGAAAAGAACGAGCTGGAAAAAAATCTATAATCGGCGCGACAAAAGCAAAAGGATAATGGTGCCTGGTCGACAGAATCTGTTACGCTTCTAAATAATTTTTTTCACACTATGTATTTTTTCGCATCATCAGTGCGAAACAAGATAAAAGTGAGAAAAGATAGAAGATTCATGTGATAGAAGATAGAAAAAGTTAAAGATAGAGAAGATGGGAAAAATCTGGACAAAGAGAGTTAGATCACCGAAGTCTTCGTGCTTTAAATGTATGGGTGAGAATATCTCCACTAAGCGATCATTACATTTTATTGTATAAATCGTGAATGACAAGCGGGACATGTATTGTCACTCGCCTGTTGTTCAATTAAACTGCTCATTATTTAAATGTATAAACGATAGGAATAACACTACGAAAATTCCACATGCATTATATCTACTAGTATATAATCTAAGCTATCTTTCGCTTTTTCGAGTCCCCAAATGGCACCGATCGCACGCGCTATTGATGAATTATTAATCTATCACTTAGAAAAGAGAAGAATCGCCGGGCATTCCACGAAAATCGGGCAAATTTTTGCGTTTAAAAAGTTTCGAAAAATCGGCTGCTTACGTTTCTATCCTGTTTGCATCTGTACATCTACGTTAAATTTGACCCGTCAATTATTAATCTCTAATTTACTTTTTAGCTTTGATATACTTGAGTCAAACTTTTACCGTCGCATCTATCAGATCCAAAACGAATCTGCGGCGAACGGATGATGGACTGTTCCCGTAAACATTTATTGATGTCGACAAACTTGCGAAATTTCTTACCCTGTTACGGTTTGCCTAAGGAGAAGTAAAGATCATAAAAAAGAAGAAATTTTTCTAAGAGATTACATACATGAGAGTAAAAAAAACTAAGATTAACAGATCAATAAATTTTTTAATGGATTATCTAAAAAAACAACTCCTATTTTTCCGACTAATAACAATAAGGGAGAGCAAGAGATCGGAAAAAGTAACCAAAATTCAATTCGCACAGTAGATTTGATATCTCCATAAAAAAAGACAAATAAATTTCTATTAAATGTCACTAATATTCACGGGAACGATCCTTGTACGAGATCTACGCAATTTCTTCAAGAGCAAAATATATACACTAATTGCCAAGTTTTCGTGGTATATTCTGGGACGCTACATCGCGTATCTTACGTTTCTCGCGAAATATTATCGAGATCTATATATATATATACTAAGTAGTCACTCTAATAGTTAAACCGATCTCGTTCACATGTCTCATCCCGCTGCTGACACTTTGAAACGTCGAGAATTTTCCGTTCGATCTAAGATATTGCACGATAGATAAATTGGTCGCTTACGAATGAGTGAGGAGATAAGAACAAACTCAAAGAAATTTGATTTATTACGTCGCGGCATATTAAAGCTGCCTCCGGACGATGCGTCTGTTATTCATATATTTCAATATTCATCAAAAATGCCACAAGTGTTTCTTTTTATCTATTTAATTAATTCATTAATTCACAGTTGCATTTATTTCATCCAATTAAAGTTCATGTATTTAAAATAAATTGGAATCGAAATTGAAGAAAAAAATTACATTTTTGTATAGCAATTATTATTTATTTTCAGATATGCAGAGATTTTTTTTATAATAAAAAAGTTCGTATTCTTCTATTTCTTGCACTGGTAAAAAAAAGCGAATTTGTATGTTCAATAAAATGTCGCTACCACTTATTATATGCAATTGAATATTGCACTGCATTTATCAAGCAAACCCATCGTTTGGAGACCATCTGAAATGATTGTTACACCAATGAGAGAATGCGAATAGAACGGGGAAAAAACGACAAAAAATATCATATATTCGAATGATATGTCGCGAATATTGCGTACCGATAAATTACACAAGGGGGGATGTACAAAATGCAATTATCATGAACGAGCAGATTACCTTGGCAACGTACATCGTGTGTATAACGTGTGTCCACGGAGAGAGAAATACCAAAAGTATAAAAATATTGGGATTGATAATTAGAGTGTAACTTTATCGTAAAATAGTCTCTTAGGTATTAATATATAGCGTGATAGAAAGATGCTTAAAAACGGAATTTTATCGCGGCTCTCGTGGAGCACGTGTTTATTTATTTTTTTTTTTTTTCTCGTAGAATGCGCGACGTGTAGTTTACGAAAGTCACTTTCATTCTTTCCGTTCCTGTCTCACAGGGCTTCCCGTAAAAAAGTTGTACACGTACCAGAAGAAAGCGTCGTGGTCCGCGCAATAGTAAGAACAAAGAAAATATTAGCGAAGACATTAACAGAGGAAACAAGAAAATGAAAATGGCAAATACGAGTGACTCTCTCGAAAAGAGATCTGTGCATCGCACACGCTTCGTAGAAAAGTCGCGACCGGGTTTTTAGCATGCACACCTTTCTTTCGATAACACTCCTGGTCGTTGACATCCCTCATTGTTCATTCAGAGTTCCGCTGACGTTTGTGTTTATCTCACTGCGTGTATGTCAGCGGAACTTCAGAAAAAAAATTAAAAAAAATTATTTTGTGTGTGATCGACGGGTGTGATCGATTGGAAAGAGCCGATCGCACATTACACAGCAAAACAGCCTTCCGTCTTCGAGCAAGGATTCTTCTTCCACGAAGAGTTTTTCTTCTTCTTCTTCTTCAGTGTCTTGCTCTTTCTTTACCTGAGACAGCGCAGCCAATTCGGTAGCATGGCCGCGCATCTCAAATAATCTCAAATGGAGCCACTGCTATCGCCAGGGAACACCATCATGTTCTCGGCCCCGTATGACGGCGTTGGCGAACTCCTCGCGTCCAGAGACGCCCTGCTGGCGGAGCTGAAACTGCTGGAACTCAGGTCCTCGTAACTAGCCACCGATTGACTGCCACCTGAAAAAGACAGAACGAATCAACGATGATCGATGACGAGACGAGTTTCCTCTCGTGCTCAAAATTCGTCTGATTAGCACGAAAGTTCACACGTTCACGAAGAAACTTATAGCTTATTGGCAAATTATCGTCATTGGTCTTAAGGACAAAATCGTTAAGCTCGATTTCTGTAGAATAATGATAAATTATCTATTTAGAATACAAAATGATGAAGTATTGCATATATTAGAAGTATTTATTAAAAGTTTTCATGAATTAATAATCATCTCATGTAAAAATAAAGCAATTGAGATAAATTATATTAAAGGAAAAAGGAAGAAATAATTAAATCAAGATTCAAAATTTGAATTTTTATTGATAGTCGAATTTTCAAGTAATTTCATCTTGTCGTCTACTGAATGTTAGTAAATTTCTCCTTGAGACCGATGACATATATGTATGTGTCAATAGATGCTTCAAATATTTAAATCGGAAAAGATCCCTTATGATTTGTATTTATGTATATATTCAGCATTGAGTATGATTGCTTGATTTTAATATTTCAATTATGTAAAAATCAAATTATCGAACGCGTGTTTCACAACAAATCTCAAATCTTATTGACGATTGAGATTCTTCTCTATTATATATATGTATATGGACATAATATAGTTATAGAATAATATTAGAGACATTATAGAATATTATAAATTTTATAAAAAATAGCATAACATTATTATAACACATATTGTAACATCTTGTCAATTTATTAATTTATATGATATTATATTATAAAATTTATATAATTTTATGTCATCTTTATATTTTAGGAAGATATAAATAATGAAAATATTTAAAAAAGATCAAATTCAAGGATCAGTCTCTCAGCGCTAAATATACAATGTGCGATAATATATACACAGAGAAATCCACAAGTGTATTATTAATGTAATAATCATAATTTTTTAAGAGGACGAGAAACTTTTCAAGAAAAATAGCATGCGTATGCGGTATAGCTGTATACTTTTATTTTCGTTTTATCGTTTTTGTCTTTTTTTTCCTTATGTATCATATTAGCAATTGGTCGCTCGTGGAGAAGCGTTTCTTCCGCGAACTAACATCTCGCATAATGTCTTGCGTGCGTTAGACATAATTTTTGTTTGTTTGTTTTTTTTTTGTACATTTGTCATTACAATTAGTAATATCGTTAGTGCATGTTACGATACATTCCGGTGTGTTTCCGGCCACAATTGATTTTACACCGTGGAAAAAAACAGCATCTGCGACTTGTTCGCTCCCTTTTTTCTCGCTCTCGTGAACAATAATTCTCTCTCGATAATTAATTAATTGAGATCATATTGAACGACGTACATACTTCAACATCGCTCAATTTAAACGAGAAAAAATGTCGATTTAACATGTTTTAGCTGCTATCTGTTTGTAAATTACAGGAGCTTTCGAGCTAAACTCGATATTTCCAATTTTGAATTGACACCAAAAGTGCGTACCTGAGAGTGTTCCCTATATTTAGCATGTGGACAGGTTATTCTATGTATTTTGTAAATATTTCCAGAACATATTCGCAAAAAGTTTGTTTCTTGGAAAGAAAAGTGTCGAAAGAGTATTGTAATAAGCTCAAAAAAAGTTTCTTAAATATAAAGATTATATAAAGACTTTTTCTATTTACTTTATCGTTTTGATAAATACAATTTTGACCATAAAATATTATAAGCTTAATGTAATATTTTGTAGGTTTAATTTTCAAATACTTATCGTTTTGACTTACGATACTCTTTCTCGCGAAATGTAATGTGTGTTACACGTGTGACAGCAATTTAAATTGTTTTTGCAGTTCGCATAGAAGTCAGTCATCATTCATCGGTCGCGAACATATAAAACTTGTCTAAGAATTGTACAGTGATTTACAGAGAAAATAATACTGAGCACCGTTAATGTGCACTGAGAAAACATCGCGCTTAAATCAGTATGGAACAAATTATAGAATTAATGTGATAAGTTTATTTTCGCATCTTTTTTACAAAATTATTATCAATAAAAATATGTTTTTCCTAATGTATTAATATCTTTTTTTTTTTTTTTTTTTTTATAAATTTTTTTTTTCCGGAACCAAATTTTTTAAATGCAAATTTTAATAGTTTGATATACATTCTCTACACACGAAGTCTGATTATAGTTATTTAATCGTCACTTAAATGATTAGTATTTATTGGTGTGTTACATTTTATCGATTTGTCATGGACGTTTCATTATTAATATCTTCAGATGCGGATATTACGACTCGTAAAACTTTAACGATGCGATATGCATGGCACGGGACTTAGATTCTACTAGCTTTTGTAGCCCCCAATCAGACATACCTCCTCCAGAAGCCTTGTAACTGCCTCTATGTCATTATAGGTCTTGGTCATTTGGCTCACCCGGTTGCTACATAAGACTGTAACAAGAATAATACTTTATTATTAAACTCCCAGATTTAAAAAAGATGTCTTAGCACTTTGATAAAGAAATATGCAGAGAGGCCGGACCATTACATTTAAATTCTGTGAGAACAACGTAAGCGCAACACTTGATAGATTTTTATATCTGTGTGTTGATAAACTTTGTTTATCCGAGTAATTTTTTTTCTCAATGCACGTTTAAACGAAATAAACCATATCACGTAAACTTAAATCAAATAAATTAAAGCTAGAAAGTAACAGATGTGTTCCACAGACTTTGGTATTGGTAACATCACATAAGAGAACATCATATACATTTTTACATTCACAGCCGCTTCGGACCGTGCAGTTATCAGAATTATTTACGAGAATGAGATAAAAGACTAACGAACGAGACTGACAAAACTTTTACACCAAGCACGCTAAACGATTCTACAAGCTAAAGCTTATCGCAGAGAAATAGAGCTCCGCGCATTAAAACTGCGTTCTAAATCGTACGAATAAATATGAAAGTGAAATTGAATTAATCTATCGATTATCAACGGTGTTTACATTTACGTATCGGCGAAGGCAGTCACTGCACGATACATTTTTGAACATTTTTGCGATTATTGCCTTCTACGTAACGATATAGGATATACAGTAACGGCCAAATGTTCATCGATCTTAAAATCGCTTTAAAAGAAGAAAAAAAGATATTTAACATTTATTCAACAAATTCCAATTTAATATTATTATATCTATCATATCTATACATAATAATATTTACTAATATATAAGCTTAAAAAATTCGTAATTTATATCTTGAGAATAGAATCTCTAAATAGATAATTTAAAAGATGATGCAAATATAAAAATAAATATATAATGAAAAATAATATGTATAATAAAATAAATAAATGTATAAATGACTCTTATAAATATAAAATAAAATAAATAAATAAAATTCAGGTTATATTATCTCCAAGCAAGAACACTTGATAACTATTTTTTCAAGACCGATGACATATTTTTATACTAAATATAAATTTCTCGTTATTTATTTAATACAATTCATGTAGATTGTCTTATTAATCTATAATAAGCAATCTATGATTGATAAATATTGTATCATTTTGGCCGCTATTGTACATACAAATCGAAACTAATGGTATCCAAAAAGTTTATTGCAAAATGCCGATTTGACGTATCGCGATAAATGATATAAGTATCATTCTTCATTGGCCATTAATTTTTCCTTTTTTTTTGTAAAAGAATACCTCTGCCGCAGAAGTACTGATTATAATTGCTCTTAACTATTTAGGTAGATAAATAGGTAAATTGTAATTCGGTTTACACACAGGAAAAAAGGAAAACAGAATCACTTAAATTTACAAATATAGATTCGGCGCCAAAATATTTTTGTCGGTTAATCATTAATCTCTCATACGTTTAGGCCCGGTTGCACCAACATCGCAATTAATAGCGTTAAACCCGGCTTAAATTTCTCAAATAGGACTTCATAATCTAAGAAAAGACATTACGAACCGCTAATCCAGGTAATGATGCAACGATCTCGATGCAACGTAGCCTAAATGTTTCTCGAACAATTCTATAAATAGGTTTACATGTATACATACATATAGCATTATACAATAGATAATATCTACACAAACATTAGCTTTGAGAAAAGAAAAATGATACGACACTCTTTCTCGACAGAGGTCGAAATATTAATCTTAAATATTATATCGATGATCTGAGTATGATTGTGTATAAAGTGCGCTTTGTAATTTGGATCATTATCGACGATTATTTCGAGCTTTTCACTGCGTAAAACAGATAAAACGTAAACGCAAAGAAAACACGCATGTAAAATAATATTGCCCAGAACTGCAGCAACAATCAATGGAGCGAAGGAGACTCTCCCTCTCTTCTTTTTATCAAATATCGCAATTCGCTAATAAGAATGATTAGAGACCGGACATCTTTGAAAAGCGTAATACATTATTTGTAATCGATTATATTCGACACACTCTCTGCACTCATGCATACAATACATGCATCGCACTCATTCCCCTTCAACGCGTATTGTACGCAGTAATTTGTCTTAAATCATAAATCGTAGATTTTTTCATTGTGTGATACATGCCTGCATGTAACGATATAGAGTAGTCGCGACGAAGATAAAACGAGACGACTTTCGTAATTAAATTAATGTATTATACGCATCAAGCTATACGTACATACGCATAAAATATTTAATGCCGTTTATATAGATCGAGATCACTAGCAGTTGAGGGACATCACAGTTTGATGAAGAATTCTTTCACGTGAAACTTAAGAGACGGTACGAAGAATATACCGAATATGAATGAACTATATAAATTCCTCTCTTCTCTTTAATTAATTCTCGGAGGAGCTCATAATATATGTCATATAATACTTGGTTAATCATTATTCTATCGCAATATAACAGAATGATTAAAAATTATGCGAATAAAAATACTTGTAGCAGGAAAGTTCGCAAAAAAAAAATAATAAAATAATAATGATAAATAAATAACACATACACAGAAATTAAATAATAATAAAATATTCTCTCGTGATTTATACAATTCATCCTATATATTCTTTCCGTTCTTGCCTAAAACAGATTTTACGGTTGATCTTCGAGGCAACAAAAAAAAAATACGCCTCAACGATACGTTTTTCCCCTCGAATCTTTCCCTCTAATTTTTCTTTACTGTACAACGATCGTAACTGAAGAGAATCGCTGTTGCGAAGCTACTGAGTATTTTTCGTTTCTTTTCCGAAATACTCTCAAATATACGGTATATATTTCTTTCTTTCTTTTTATCGCTAATTACAATATAAGAAACGCAATGATTTTATCTAAACATATATTGTTTTATACGTCATCTTTATACGTCCTCGATAACACGTTGAACACGTTTTATAAGGTTTTTTTTTTATTTTTCTTTTCGTTTCTCGTCTCGTGTATTCAACATTCGAAAGTGAAATTTGTACAGGCTAAACATACATCCGCATAGGCCATTTCGACGTTTGAAAAATGTAAGAAAAAAAAAACAAGAATTAAAAAATTAGAAACAATTGTAAATATTAACTGCAAAAGAAAAGATGGAACAAAATAGAGAAGCAATTTATACGAAAATTGACGACCGCGCGAGTTTTACTTTATTTTTCCCTTTCTATTAGATTTGCAAATTAAAGTTATTTTTAGTGATTTTTTTCTCAAGAGCATATAAAACATATCTTTTGCTTAAACATTTCTTTATTAATATAGCATCTTAATTTGTCTTATGGTGAATTCTTCCTAATGTATCTCAAAATCACAATTTTGACATATTTAAAATTAATGTAAGGTACAAATGATCAAATTAATTTACATTGTCATGAATAATGTTCGTTAGTTTTAATATTGTATCGCGAGAACAACTCGAGCTACTGTGATATTTACAAATTCATTGCGAGATTATTTATTTTCAATCGAAATTCCGAGTTTGCTTATGTCTATGATTATTATGGATTATCACGGATCTTTCTCTATAATTAAATGGCATTTTTTGCGAAATTATTATTTTATTACGAAATCGAAATGTTGACTTTACGCGCGGACCAATGTAACAATATACTTGCATCAAATTACTCTCTCCTCTTTATATAATTTTCTACATTCTTATAATTACATAAATCAAAATAATACAATTATATAAAATATAAATAAACAGAAGAGAGAAAAAATATACTGTATTCTTTACATTTTTACAAGATCAACTAATTAAATATAAAAAAAAGCAAAAGAATATAATTTAAAAAAAGAAAAAATAATTTGAAAGAAAAACAAGATTTAATTAGGTTGATATCATCAATGTCAAGTCTAAATATGTAAGCTATTTCCTAACATCCCAGTAAGCACCGTTATATAAATGTTATATAAGTACAATAGAACTGAATATATGTATATTATACAGATAATATTGCACAAATTATTAGTAAGCTACCGGTTAATTGCAATTTTCCACTCATATATGTATAACAAATAATAAAATAAATTATATTTAATTTATGAAACTCGAGATTTAATCTATATAAAAATTAAATTCGAATTTCTCGTCTCAAATACGAAGTAAATAGACAATTTTTAATTTTTATCCATCCAATTTCAAACGATGTATTTAATATTCTAAATCCTTTGATCCTTTGATCAGAAATTATATATAAATTAACAGAAAAAGATATATTTTGGATCTTATATATTAGTAGCCGTCCTTTATATTTTATATTATTATTATGCTTTATTTTCGTGGAGAAAACTTGTTATATTATTGCAATAAACAGTGTTTACTAGGATATGAATCTTTTTTTCACATGTTAGAAAATTATGTATAAATTGAAATGTTCTACATATATTATATAGAAGAAAAGTATCAAAAGAATTTCCTGATTTTTTGTGTATCGCCATATTCTATATTTGATATCCAAATTCTTCTTCATCTATTTGATATCCCATTAGCTCATTCTAAAGTTTAGAAAAAAAAACGATCAATTGTAAAAAAAAAAAAAACGAAATAGAAAAAATTGAATTGAGTGACAACCAATTCCGATTACAAAAAAACAAAAAAAAACGGTCACGAAAATTGAATAATGACCCGATCGTCAAGTTTCAACTCTGGATGATACACGCGGTCACAACGACAAATTATAATCTAATAGAGCAGCCTCTTCGTGTGCGATCTACGTAACAAATGCTATAATAGAACGTCACATTTGTGAAGAAGACACGTGAGTAGGATTCCATGTACAAGATTCATGCAAATATGATTTTTTCATGCTATACGGAGATGAGCGCACATCAAGGTATCACCTGGTGATACGAAATCGCGAGTATTCACAGATACACAGATTTTCTACCATCCATTTTCTACTATCATTATTATTATTTTTTATCATTATTATTATTATTATTATTTCGTCGACAAATCGTCACAGAATTCTCATCTGCGTAGCACATACAAATGTAATGATAGAGAGAGGGTCTTCTGAAAAAATATCTCCCCCCAAAAATAAATAGATGTTACGATGCAAAGATGTATAAATAATATATGTATATATATACAGCTAAATAAGCCAAGTTACTGTCTCACAAGATTCATTCTGAACGAATAAAGTGATTTAGCGAAACCAATACTGTCGTTATTCGATCGAAAGCTCAATCAATCTCTCGCGGCAATAAACGAATAAAATTTAACGAGATGCTTTGTACTACAACGAAGAAATATGGCCTATCGCTTACACCGAACAATGGTCGTTACTCGGCTAACTAGAGGATTAACTCTTGCAAATGAACACCTAATGGTCGATCGTTTGTTACATTGTTAACAATCAAATTATCAATAGTGGGCAATAATATATAAGATATACGCATTTATAGTTTCGTGTACCACATTAAATCCAAACTTATCATCTTTTCTCTTTTTTTTTCGGATTTAAGGTTTAAGGCAGTCAAATCGAAATTGCTACATGGGAGTTGCCAAATAGTCACAATAAAAAATCCTGTTCTAAAAGCTATCTCTTTCTCTTGTTAGTTTCATACCCCGTTAGAACTGATGTTGAAAAGCGTTCTAATAATATCCTAACATCCGCTAAAACACAACCTTGCCCGCCACATTACCCGAATGCTTTTATTCGTATGTGTTCTTGTGAGGGATAATGATTACTAATTGAAGACAGAATCTTTCGGTCTTAACTCTCCGATCAGAGATAGGATCAAACCTGCTACGAACGTGTCTTTTTAAATAAGTGACAGTACACATATATAACGACACAAATAACGACACGCTTTCAATTTTTCTCTCGTACAAATTTTCTAGCGATTCAGTTGTCGCAGTCATTTCAGATTATTTCGGAATCTCTAATTGGCAAGGATATATTCTTGAAAATCAACTCGGTTTATTCCTTGAAAGCAAATTCGGAGAGAAGAAGATGGCCCGTCGTTATTGTAGCGAAACACAAGCCGATGCAAGGTTGACTCTTGCGAGGTCTACGCACAATCACAGTTCAAACTCTGACAATTCCCCCTTCCCCTTTCCCCTCATACATACGCGGGAACGTATTAATCTACTCCCGCTACTTGCATCAGGAGTATGTAGAGGGCAAGGCTAGCCCTAGGCACGTCCATGCAGCAATCCTCTACTCATCTGCGCTTTTTTCTCTTAGATCTGTTGTTCGTTTTCTTGGCGGCGATCGAGCTCTCCGCTTCGCTTCGCTTCTCGGCGTGCTTCGGGCATGCATCGGATCCCGGATCTTCAGAAGACACCTTCGGGAGAGCCGGAATTGGATCACTCCTCTCGGAGTCGCCGCCGCCTTCTGCCACCTGTTGTCGAAGCACCGGCTGAAGCTGCAAAGAAGATTCTCTTTGCGATTCTCTCCCCTCGGCTGGCACGTTACCTCGACGTGTCTTGTCGACGATGAATCGTACTTCCGGAGCCGGAAGAGACTGTTCTTTGTTATCCTCCCTGTCCTGATGTGACATCTTGGCTCGTGCCATAGCGATCGTGACACCCGCAAGATCCCTGTCCGCGCGAGGTTCTTCGTCTATTACCGCTATGGGAAGATCTACGAGGATAGTCTCTTCCATCGGCGTTGTCATCGTTTTGTTAGCCTTATTCTTTTCGCCAAAAAGGTCCTCCTTTTCTTCTTTCTCCTCAACATCAAAAGCTCGTCGTTGTGTATTCTCATGTTTGCATGCCCCTGATTCGAGGAACGGGCGATCGTCCCTGTCGCAAAATTCCGAAATTTTCTTCAGCTTTCTCGCATGCTCGCCAGCCTCCGATTTCTCCTCCACCTCTATCAACGGCTCAAGATCTGTTTCCTTACGTATCTCTTGCGAATCTGATAAGATGCTTTTCTTAACGACAGAGCTCCACGATATCTCCGTCGAGACAGGGGCTTGAACTTTCTGTTCCTGAAGATCTCTGGGAAAGTCTACAAACGACTCGTCTTGCACTGCCTCTCGCAGATCCGCCATTTTCACTCTGGAGGAACGGAATGAAGGTGGAGGAGCAGAAAAGGAGGAGGAGGAGGAGGAGGAGGAGGAGGAGGAGGAGGAGGAGGAGGAGGAGGAGGAGGAGGAAGAGGAAAAAGAGAGCTCTGTCGAGCTATTTTCCTGCAACTGGCTATCCGCCTGCGACTTTTTGCTCTTGCGAGACTTTTTGACGCGCGTTCCGGTAGCGGCAGGCAGAATTTTGCACTCTGGCGTTGAGTCAGCGTCCGTATCGGCCCTCTGCATTGCATCAATATCGATAATCTCGACGATATCGCTAGCAACGATCTGAGAAGCCCGCTTGCCGGATAACAACGAGGAATTCGCTGCCGTTTTCGAAATGCGATTTTTGGCCCTTCGCGTTGGACTCGTCCCTTCCAATTTGTCCTTGAGATGGTCGACGGGACCATACTTATCAGTCATCTCCTCCGACTTCAGCCAGATCTCTTCTAGTGGATTGTATATAACGGTGATATCCGCGGTCTCCGTTTCGCTCTTCTCGATCACCATGATATCTTTTCGTTTCTTGCTCAATCTAGGTTTTGTATCTTGCTGCTCCATCTCTTGTTGAGAGGAACTCGTCACCGCGCCAAGTTCCAGCTCGCAAATCTCCGAGAGCTGGACGTGCTCCAGATCGTCATCGGACGACAAGGTGTGTTTGCTGTGCCTTCTACATGAGCTTCTGTCATTGCTCGCTTTTGTCGCGGATTTGGCCGTGTAGGTGACGTCACCCGAACTCGCGGAATCGAGACCGCCGAACTCGGAACTGTGTATATATTCCAGATCGTCGTCCGAGATCGTGCTCTTACTGCTTTTCCGCTGCTCCACCGGGGAAGACGATTGCGTGGCCGTGGAGCCAAAGAATGCATCGTCTCTGCACTTGTCGTCACCTGCATCGATCCTCGCACGCATCTGTGTCACCTCAGACGCGTGGATATGTTCGATGTCATCGTCAGACTGAGTGGCCGTGGAAGCAGCATCCTTACATTGTTCCACCATATGATACTCGATAGAGCTAAAGTCATCCAGCGGCGGGGGATCCAACGGTGGTAATTCGTCATCATCGTCATCAGGTAACAGTCCCGTTTTTCCCGCTTTCGGAGCAAGTTTAGCGAGATTCTCTCTCTTCACGATTACGTCGGCGGTTGATTTTGTCGGCTCAGAATCCGTGTCACCGGAGAATTCCGCTTTCGCGCATTTAATTTCTTTATTCTCTAACGTCACTCGATCCTCGTCGAAAGAGTCTCGCGGAGCGCGACTCTTCAATCTGCCGTTTTTATGCGCCTGCGTTGTTTCCCCATGTTTCTCTCTCGCAAACATCTTATAAACATCTTTCGGATTCTCGGCTTTCTTTTTATGAACCTCGCTTTCTTTTTTTTTTGTACAAACGCTCGTCATTGGATCCGCGCATCGAGCGTCCTCGATGACGACACTGTCCTCGTTCTCTTGAACAATATATTTCTTCGCGCGCATCGACCGCGACGTTTCGACCGGACGTTTCTGCGCGGTAGCCTCGTTCTCGACGACGATTGACCTTCTCGCGAGAGATCTCTTAGCTCTTTCGTCCGCGCTTGATTGCATCTCGATATTTCTTTCGCCTCGCATCGTCTTGTTTTCCATCAGCGTGACGCTGTCGTCGTCGTAACTGACGACATACTTAGCTTTGGCGAGGTGTCTCTCGTGGACGTGATAATCCTCGGCGCGCTTGTCGCCGACAGATCTGTCGCCCGTCTTGCCGTACCACAACGCAGTCTCTTTCGCCTGCGTCATCGGACTGCTCGGAATCTCGCCCGGTTCAGCGCATAAACTGAGACTCGTAGGTACATCGCGGAAAGCCCCTTCCCTCTCGTAATCGATCGATGTCGACGTCGTCGTCGTCGCCATCTCCGCACACAGGGCGCGACGTTCTTGCAACTCGCGTATATTCTCGTCGGGCACGCTGTCGATTGCCGTCGGTTCACTGGCCGTGCGCATTTCCGCGCAGATCTCGGTGTGCTCGCAACTCAGCGCCCGGCACTCCGGCACGTCCGGGAGGTTGTCCGCTGCACCGAGCGAGGCCGGTCCCTCCTCGGCGCACACGCTTCTAGGTGCGTGGATCTCCTCCGGAGCGGAATCGTACTCCTGAACGGAGCTAACAGAGTCCTCATCCTCGTCGGCCGACACGGTAATCACGGTGCCGGTGTGAGGGTTGACGACTTTAGTTACCGGTTGACCCACCCTCTCAATTATCGTACGCCTCCCTAGTAACAGAAAAAGCCGTTGGCAGGTATCAATATCACGAGTCGTTGCTCACGCGTTTGTCTTTCTCTCTCGCTCTCTCTCTCTCTCTCTTTTAAGTTTCTCTTTTTTTCTCCTTTTTACACAGAAATAAATAACTCGCTCGCATCCTCACTCGGGATTATGTTATTACGTCACGTCAATGAAAAATCACGACAAAATCAAAGAAAATCGAAATTCGAAAAAAAAATGTATGTGATGCAAATGAGCAACTACAGAAATCGGTGTTCGGTTTAATAATCATAAAATCTCGAGCATCCCAACGATAAGAATGGATAGAGCTAACCGTCTAATCTTTTTTTCTATCGCATTTCGCATTTGCATACTTCGCGTGCCTATCAATAAATAAAGTCAAGACAAACTTAAGAAGAGAAACACATCCGTTCGTATTTGTAATTGCAAAACAATCTCTCTCTCTTTCTCTCTAAGATGTACACAAAGCTAAAAGCTCGAGCAAAATGTGATGGATCTACATGGTTAGTACACAAGACAGTACACAACTCTGTTTTTGTTGAACGTTTCTTTTTTTCTTTTGATATAAAGAGCAGACTCAATAACGACAAAATATATTGCTGTTAGTGCTCAGATATAATACAATTACAGGGACAAAAATGAAGATACCTGCCTCTGGCCAGTTCTGTATCCACGCAAACTTACAACGCTAGTTGATTTCATCCTTTGTTAAACATATGTACAAGAAATATATTATAGAGAAAAAGAAAAGATTTGCTCATTTTCTCCAGTTAGAATTGTTAGATTTCGCAATTTATACCGTGCGACATAATATTGTAATAAAACGTTGACAAATATAATTATCTGTTTCGAGAATCTTATTTGTTTCTCCATATTTTTTATAAAGAGCGATAAATTGAAATCATATTATATTATGTGTCGAATATCATGTTAAATTTCACACGAATAATCCCGCAAACTTTGCGAGCTCAAATCTAGATGCATATAAAATATTTAAAAATATTGTACATTATATATATATATGTATGTATGTATGTATGTATGTATGTATGTATGTATGTATATATAAAGTGTTTCACATAAAATGTTAAAATATATTTTCTCCGGAACTTAATGTTTCGAAGAAAACATCTTGTAACACTTTATGTGAAACACACACACTCTGTATATAATACAAAATTTTAAAGAATTATATTTACAATGTTAAAAATTATATGTTTTTTTTTATGGGAAAATATCGAATATATATTTTTCAATCATCAAAGGTAAGAACAAATATATGAGTATACGTACAGTGTAGTAATGTAGAATGCAGACAAACCATAGATAAAAAAACAATAAAGATAAAAATACTTTGCCAAAATATCTTGTTCCACAACTATCACAACTATCACAACTATGCTAAAAGTAAAAAATGATCCTCGTTATCACAAAACAAAAAAATTATAGCGCAAATGAAATTATATACATAAATGTACGAAATATATATTAAACAAATGCAAATACTTGTATAAATTGCACGAAACATATATATATTGATTTAGTCGCTTCGAGAGATACATCGATGATACTGCGACTAACAAAGTGGACCTGCATTCATTCATAAACTTGGTGCTTTTCACTAAAACTCCATAATTGCGTAATTGTGCACTTACCTGGGGCACGATGCGACGCAATGGATATCTCAAGCATAGCTTCGGCGAGATCCTCTCTCAGCTGACTCTCGCAGCTACCAACGGCTACGTTCTCGCTATCTAGAGGATCACCGTAAGCCTCCATGAATCTTGGCGACTGCTCGTAACTACCTATGTGCACAAAGTCAAATAATGTATTTTATTTCCTTATAAATAATCAATTTATTTTGTTTTTCTTCGTTTAAATAAAAGACTTCGTTTTCTTATCATAAAACTAAAACACACGATGCGATTCTCGCAATACTCGGCTACTATTGATGATTACACTTACTTCCTGATCCATCGATGACGACTGGCATCAACGGCCTGGACGCTGCGTGGGGCATATTAACGGGCTTCGATCTCGCTGGACGCGATCCGGTGATTCCAATCTCGATCGCTTCCGCTTCGACCAAATTAACAGCAACACTGATAAGAATTAATCTTCGTTAAATTGAAAAAAAATCGCGACTAATGAGTGCAAATTGAGAGAAAACCAACCCGCTAGGTGCGTTGTAAGTTTTAAAAGTAAACTGTGGTCCCATCCACAGTCGCCTGTGCGGTCCAGCGTGCGTGACGATTTCTACTTGACTCAACCAACGATCCTCGGCCGTGTCAAGTTCCTGATTGTTCTTTGGTGCAAAAGTGACGCTGAGTAACGGGTTAGACAAAGGCAATGGTGGGACGAGTTCCGAAGAATTGGGGACTCTGCAAAGCGGCCACTGGCCCTTCGCTTCGACATCCAACTCGATCATGGTATCATCGCAAACTTTTTCCTTTGGCACTCCTGAAACAAGCAAAAGCGTTAAATAACAGAGGGATAAAAAGAAATAAATCATAATTTCTTTCAAAAAATGTATGCAATAAAGTATTTTCTGCAGCGTACCAGCAACTGGTTTAGGTTCCAAGTCATATTGTATCATATTTCCATGACATGCCATGATGAACAAAGAATCGACTGCTCTCTTGACAACCTTGCTGCTAGACTCCCTTTGCGCATATATCCAAGCTCTCGGTGGAGCGAAACATGCGCAAATTTTTAACGGTAGAGTCCCGCTATCGTCAGAATGTAGCCGTTGTCTTTGCTGCGGTCTACTAATATAAAATATACGATATTTTTTAAATCACACTTTTATTATTATATAGCTTATCATTCTCAGTAAAATTAGTTTTTTGAGAAAAACTGGTAGCTACCTTGGCTGTGACGAGTTGTTGACTTGATTCAAAGAAGACGGCTGTCGAATCTGCGACAGTGGATGCAATATCGTCGGATGAGGATACGGTGGAAGTCTCGGATTCGAATACGGATATACAGACAAAGGTAGCTCCGCGTGAGACACGGGAGAATGGGATCGAGTACCATCGTCCGTCAAGCCCGCACTCTTGTGGAATCTCGATAGTCTGTTGACGACGTGAGGCGTGGAGTGCGTCCTGACACCAACAGGACCTCCATACGGTGCGACAGGAAAAACATGCGTGGTACCTCTCACAGTTGAAACTGCAGCCCAGCGTGCGTCGCTCGAGAATATCATGTCCTAACGCAACAAACATAATGTATAAATATGTATAAATAAACACTTTTGTATAAACTTAAAGACTTATAAATTAGAAAATGCTGCTCTCTATTGAATTATACATATTAATAATACTTGGACAAGATATACAATTAGTTTGTAAACGGCAGAAACGTACTTGTACTTTTGCAGTGGTATCACCACGATGTAAAATATATAAATGATGCACTGCTGCTAATGTCGGCCCACCGGGATGTGGCTGAATTCTAAATACATGAAAGTCATGTCCTCTCTTGTCGGCTGTCATTAATAACGCGCCGGTCAAATCGAAAGTCATGGCGACGATCGCATCGCTATGGGCGGTAAAATGAGCGATTACAGCATCCGCGTTCGCGTCGTCCAATTCTTTCTCATCTCTTGCGATCTGAAGATCCAATATCGTGACTACGCCCGGTTGTGTCACGTCATTGCTTGTATTATTCGCAGTCATCGGTGATACTGAATTTCCGGTCAGACTCGAAGCAACGGTTTCCCCTAATCCGCGAAGACCTTTACCCAGTGACTTCGCTGCATATAAAACCGTCGCTGTGTAACTTTGCACGCCCTCTCCCTCACAACCGCCACTGCTCCTTCTTGCGGGTATTAATCTTTTTTCGCTGCAAACATTATTAAAAGCGGTTATTTAACAGAGTGTCTATTCAAATCTTTTAAAGAAATTCCCTGATCTTTCAAGTATTTTTGTTCCAGATAAAGAAAAAATTTTAAAGATTTTTTGATGCAACTTTTTACAATAAATCTTTATTGCATGCGTTTTCTAATATTTTTCAGTCATAAAAAAGAAAAACACAGAATCTCTTAAATTTCAAGTGCTAGATTTGTAAATGTACTAAAAAATAACTAAATAACTTTCGTAAGATAAGCATTTTTCACTTGCATAAAATTATTTTTTTGTCACTAAAAATTATAATAAATAATATGTACTGCATATTCAATATTTTGTTAAGAAATTGAATATATGAACAAAAAAAGATATATATTTATATTTTAAACGCATAATTTGCTTGGTTTGTTGACTGTTTACAATATGAGAGCAAAATTTTATCCAAGACAGAATTTTTTTTAAACTTCTTGTATCCCAATAAAATTCCAAGAGAATTCTCTACTTTTTCCAAAATTGTGAGACTTCCAGATTTAATAGACACCCTTACTACGTTAATATGCATAGAATAAAATTTCCGTACCTGTAAGCGAGCCACCGTGTTCCTAAAGCGACAGGATTTGGATTTGGGCCAGGGCTGGCATAGCAGGTAGTGATTGTTATATTATTTTGCAATGTTCTGGCATCGAAGACCGCAATTTTTTCTAATAACGTTACAACCACAGACCGCTTGTTTGCCAACACGTCGCAAACAGGATTCTTAAATCCTACGCTATGCACCGGCTCGCCAGTCTTCAAGGAGATGAAGTTGACATCGCAAAATTTTGGTCCCGGAAGAGTCGAATCCGGCTCGGAGCAGACCGCTACCATCGGCCGTTTCGCTTCGAATTCGTCGACGTGTTCGTCATCAGTCTTTGGATTTGGTAGAATTCGAAGAGTACGAATCACGCCTTGTCGCCATGATAGAACTTCCGTTGCCTCTCCCGTCGCTGCTATCAGCCATACCTAATATTTACAATTTAATGATTATCGCAAACAATACATTGTGTTAAATATGTATAGACTAAGATAAAAAAACAAAAATAAAAAATGAACACATCTAGTATTTAATAAGCTGCAAAACAAAATTTAAATTGATATAAATCACTCACCTGAACGCCAACTGTATATCCTAGCACCAATAATAATGGTGGCGTACTGGAACCTTCATTGTAATCAGGATATAAAACAGGATCATTTATATCCGCATATTCAAATCGTGCCCATGATATGGTTTCCTTATTATCAGAGTTGGATGCTCCGGCGTATCCCTATAAACAATTAGAGAAAAATAATATTTAAGATATTTAAATATAGATTCTACAATATTTAAGAAGTTGCATAATTAACAGGTATACCTGTGGTACTATATCATTGATAATTCCAGCAACGCTATCGATAATCGATCTGTCAACTATGGGCTGAGGTGAAACAATTTGAGCTCCTTTATGCGCACCTCGCCTTGGTGATTCCGCAGACATTTTTTATTTCCAAATTAATTTTATCTACCTGTAAAAATAGCACAATCTTGTTATTGTTACATGAAATATATTAATTTCTAATACATTTTTAATATAAACTAAAAGAACAATATAGTATCCGTTAAATCAAAAATAATATATATTTCTTTAATTTGAAGAAATTGTAAATATTTTAAAATAAAGAACTTTTTATATATATTTAATATTTTAAAAACGAATTATAGTCTAAGATTTAACAAGTAATATATATGTTAGTTAAAATTTTCAAGTATTTAGGATATCACAAGAGAATTGAATTTACAGTAGCAGTAAACACTTTATAATCGATTTTGCTTAAAAAATTGTAATTGCAGAAAATTATATAAGTTGTTTATAAAAAGCGATATTGTGTTATGATATTTAATTAAATCTCGCGTCAATTATATCTAAAACGTACGATATAGCAATATAAATAACTGTCATAGAATTCGCAAACTGTACGAAAGAGAAGTTCGACATCGCAATCACGATGTTTGCAATAATATCAACGAGACACAGAAACGCGAACGGGAGACAAAGGAAAGACACACTTGCGTGCCCTTGTCCTTTGCTAACGCGTCTCGATGTAAACGACGAGCGATCGGATTTCGGAACGCCGTGAGAAAAAAGAAAAACCAAAAACAAATACTAGGAGGGAGAGAAATTATTTTCCTTTTACGCGGCGGATAAACAAAGGAATGAACGCGCGATACGAATACCGTGGCCGTTTCGCATAATCCTCGTTCGCGGAGGAGGACAAAGAACCCCTCGTTCAAGGTATGTACACCACCACCACCATCACCACCACCACTACAACTCGGAGCTATCCGATTAGGCGAGTCGTGGACATTACTGCTCGTCGCGATTCGGCATTCGTCGTCGTCGTCGTCGCCGTGCGATCACCAGCACAGTCGTCGTCGTCGTCGGTGACGACGACAAAACTCCACGGAGCGTCGTCGTCGTCGTCGTCATGCGGTGCATTATTCAACGCGCACGAAAAGTGGGAAAGTGCATTGGCTAGTCGGTGGGAATGGACGGGACGTAACGAGAGGGACGTAGAAGTAGAAGGGGGGTAGTCTATTTTGCCAGCCGTCGTAAGGCGTGTTGTTGCACAACGCAAGCAGACAGCTGTGCGCGGAATGAGCGCTCAGGGACAATCGACGAGAAAGTCATGAACGAAGAGGAAGGATGGGGATGGGCATAACCGTCTCCAATATCGCTTTTATAAACGATAGATAGAGGATGAAAATTGCGACGGAGATAAAAAGGGGGGACGACGACAAACACACTGGGCTGCGAGCGAACGACGCGTACTTCAATTTCATATATACGACGAATAAGCGTTTACGCAACCGCGTTAAAAAAAGCTACGCGAGCGCGCGCGGAGAGATTCCACCGTTCGATCTCGCGTATATTATATACGACGGGGAAGGGAAAAAAAAGGGAGGAAAAAAAATTATCGTTGGAGAGTCGCACAAAGGGAGTATCTCTCGCTTATAATTATTATCGGCGCGTGCTCGGATCGTGCTAGGACCCGATCGCTCGGTCGTGATCGATCGTCGTAAACGAGAACTTACTTCACCGCGAGACTTCACCGTGTTTTCTCATCGTGCGTGAGGGGAGAGAGGGGAGAGAGAGAGAGAGAAAGAGAGCCCGCCACTGCACTTCGCGAGCACTACCGTCGTCCGTCTACTGCGTCATTCCGCGAGCGACTGACAACCCAGCGGACGACAGTGGCTGATGATGTCACTCTGCGCGCGCGAGAAACGTCAATCTCCTCGAGCGATTCTTTTTTCTTCTCCCCGAGGGGAAAAAAACGCGAGGTTCGCACTACGCGCCGTTCTCGCACCAGCCAGTTTCCGCTAGCTATATTAGAGACGCAGACTATTATAATACGACGCGACACGCGTCTACGCACACACGGTCTATCCGCCGAAGACGCGCTCTGCCCACCCTTTCGCACGGAAGAACCACGGAAGATTTCTCGCGAAACGGGCGAAATTCGCGGGCGCGGATTCGCCACTGGTTACGTTACAGCGTTGGGTATGTATGTATGTATGTATATATAGGTATGTACAATACGATATGTATATATATATATGTACCATGCGCCGACGTCGCGCCACGCCACTGGACTACCTATTGCTTCGTGTGTTGGAAGAACGAAAACAATAATCAGCTGATTCGATGGCAGGGGAAGTCGGATGCGGAGAGGAGCGGAGAGACGACATCGGTCGCGATCGGAACGAAACGCGAGTGCCACTCGTTTGCGATCGTTCGAAGAAGACTGGGGACGGGGCGGGGGGTGGGGGGGTAAATGACTGGATATAATTCAAATTTTTTTTTTCCAATCGTGATGATCTCCCCTTCCTTTATCCCTCATGGATGTATATATACGTTTACATTGGCACCGATTTTTCATCTTCTCCCCTGAATGATAAAAATATTTTATTATCGGCGCATACTCGAACCGTGTAGGATCCGATCATTCAGTTATGAATCACGTCACGATTAATCGTCGCCCAGACAGCATACAAAATATTTATAATAAATATTAATAAATATCTTTTATTATTTATTTTTTGAAATATTATATAAATATTTTATACATATTTTGTATACAGGGTGTCTCACAACCTTAGTACAATATTTTAATAGTGTATTCTAAAGATAAAATAGAGTCCTAAAATCCACAAAAATATTTATAGAATATCTTGATAAATATTTGTAAAATATTCAAATAATTATAAATATTTTGTACATATTTTATAAATATTGTATGCTGTCTGGGCGGGAACAAGAATTTTTACTTCACCGTGTTTTCTCATTTAGAAAATGAAAATATTTTTCGAATGTAATTTAAAAATTCGGAAGACAGAATTAAGATATTAATGCATTCTCTATCTAAGCTGTATTGTAAGCGCGAGATGTTGACCTGCATCAATCTGATTGTAATTACGCTGATACATATCGCCGCGACACGTCCGAATTTCTTGTTGATCATTGTCGACGATCTAAGGACCGCCTTGGGATGTTACGGTGATATTAATGCATATACGCCGAATATAGATGCCTTGGCCGAGAATAGTATCGTTTTTACCGAGGCATTCGCGCAGGTATCTCTGAAAATAATCAATTTCAATGATTTCGTCTTACTTTTCATTTTGAAAAGAATTGGATTTTTCGTTGCAGCAAGCTTTGTGCGCGCCTAGCAGAAATTCATTCCTGACGAGTAAAAGACCGGATACTCTTCGGCTTTATGATTTTTACAGTTATTGGCGTGAAAAAGTTGGTAATTATACCACGTTACCGGAGCATTTGAAAAACAATGGATACACTACAATGTCCATAGGAAAAGTGTTTCATCCAGGTAAAGAGTAAAAAAATTAAATGCAACCAGGGTGTCTACTCCCTGAAAAAAAATGGAAAACTTGTAATTTTCAGATATTTGCCAATAAGTCAAATTGTGGAAATTATGTGTTTAAAAAATATAAATATATATTTATCTCTTATATATTTAATTTTTTAACAAAATATTGAATATGCAATATACATATTTTTTATTGTAATTTTCGGTAATATAAAAAACAGAATTATTAAAAAGTATTATAAAAAAATTAAAATGTTATCCAAATGAAAATGTTTATCCTATGAAAGCAATCTATATTATATATTTGTCTTACATTGAAGATTGCGTACAATATTTCATCTCCAATTGAAAATCGTATAAATCAATCAATTTAGTCTAAAATTATATGTTATATGAATGCAAATCATAAAAAATAATGTGAAGAATAACAAAACGCACTGGTTTACACAAGTACATATATTTATTATAGGTATAAGTTCTAATGGATCAGACGACAGTCCTTATTCGTGGACCGAGAAGCCTTTTCACCCATATACAGATCGGTACAAAAATGCTCCCGTGTGTAAGAGAAGCCCGCAATCGGAAGCAGCGACGAATATTGTAATATGCGATAAGATATTTGTTCTATGTATATGTTACAAATTACATTCACAAATCTATTATGGATTATGCTACAGGTATGTCCGGTACGTGTATCAGCCATGCCAAATAAAACATTACCCGATATCGAGACATTACGCGAAGCGAGGAAATTCATACATGAGCATAGAGGAGATAACGATCCCTTCTTTCTTGCTGTCGGTTTTCAAAAGCCTCACATACCGTTGAAGTATCCCGAACGCTATCTAAGTACATTTTATATCGATAATAAAATTAGAGATTAATGTTTCAAAGATCATTTTCGTTATAATCGTAATAACGACATATGTGAAAGAAGTATAATTACGCAGAATATCATCCTATATGGAAGTTCAAAATGTCCGAGCCATACCTATGGCCGGATAATGTAAACAACGTTGCTTATAATCCCTGGACCGATCTACGATGGAGGAAGGACGTGGCGAAATTGAGATTGAAATTTCCATGGGAAAGGATACCAGGTATACATATCCTGTGATCGATATATTTATTTCATATTTATAAACATATATGCGCGCATCTACATTTTGCTTAATCATTTCCCTATTATCATTTTCAGAGAAATATGGGAAACTAATTATCCAATCGTACTATGCAGCCGTATCTTATGTTGACAATATGATCGGCAAGCTTATACACCAACTACATGTCTCGAGGATTCGAGAAAATACTATTGTAATATTAACATCCGATCACGGCACGTTTTTTTTTTTTTCAGTCGATGAAATAAAATACGCATGCAGTTATATTAAATTAACATCAAACGCACAGGTTGGGCACTTGGAGAGCACGCTATTTGGTCTAAATATAGTAACTTCGATGTTGCTGTACACGTACCTCTGATAATATCGATTCCGACAGTCACGTTTGATACTGATGATAATTACGCTAGATCTATGCATGATGAAAGATATAATATAACGCACATTACAAATTATGATGAAATGAGAGATAAAACAGATTCGGAGTACATGATACCTGATGAAAGAGAAATCGGCATTTGGAATAGTACAAAATATAATACAAGAGGGTATAAAAGAATGATTTTGGAGACATACATTCGACAAAGATATAAGAAATCTGTGGAAAGCAGCACGTTATATATTTCTAAAAAGCTGAAGAGAAACTATTGTCGAGTTACGAACGCTGTCGTAGAGCTCGTAGATATATTTCCGACGATCGCGGATCTGGCGGGTGTTCCCGTGCCAATATGTCAAAATGTCGAAGAAAATCATCGAATGCGCTCGAAAACTATTTCCATTTCTCGAAAGGAAGCGTCCGATCCTTGTAGCGAGGGTATTACGCTCCTACCACTCGTAGAAAGTACGTTAAGATGTCAGGTAAGGCATATACTTTTATTCCAAGTAATTTTTTTTTTTTTTTTACAAAACAAGGATTTATCTTTCTTGTACATTTGCAAAAATTTTAGAATGTATCTTGGAAAAGAGCGGCCTTCAGTCAATATCCGAGACCAGGAATACAGCCTACGCTTCGTCCCAACAGTGATAAACCCCGTTTGAAGGAGATAACTACAATGGGTTATACTTTGAAGACCAGCGATTATCGTTATACAGCGTGGATACCATTTGCGCATGAAACATGCAAACCAGATTGGGACATTATTATCGCAGAGGAATTATACGATCACAGAACTGATCGGGCGGAAGATTTTAATATAGCAACCTCGCTGAAAATGTTTAACACGAAGAAATATCTTAGATCGTTGTTAAAAAATGGATGGAGAGACGC